TGCCAAAGAAACGCGGCACCTATGAGTCTCCATAGAATGTATCTTATGGCACTCAGTGGATGCCATTGTTGGGTTCAGAGGGCTTACAAAGGCATAATGGAGTTAAATAAGAATAAAATTGTGGCTCACAGGTAGGGTTATCTTTCCTTGAAAATAGCAAGATTTTTGCTGTGAAGAGTCTGAGGTGCAGAAAAAGATAGTTCTGCTGGAAAAAAATGGAACCTTGTAGAAGGAAGATAGATAATGAGTACTCCCTGTATCCAGCTATTTTGGTTAACCTTCATTTACCTCATAGGTATACAGGTACCCTGATAAGATGAGAACAAGTTCAGGTCCCTGAAAATAATGGAAAAGGGTTTGTGTAGTTTTCATCTTCTGACAGGATCGCTCACAAATCCAGAAACAAATTTTGTGACCAGAAGGGAGAAGGAAAAAGGCCCAGCAGAAGAGCTTGCAACAAAGCTGCCTCTGTCATCTAGCTGCCTTCCTCAAGTGCCTTTAAGCTCTCTTGTATATGGATTTGTTTATTGGAAAGAACAAAACCCTAGTTTTTCCAGGCACCTAAAATGCAATGCTTTAAGTTTGAAATAAGAAGTTGCCAAAGAAATGTGAAATGAATTATGAATTTTTTTAAAAGCTTGATATTGAGTGTGTGTATATTATTTCTTTTTACTTTTATAATTTTATTCTTGAGACATCAATTGTTTTCTTAATCTAAACACAATAACAATATTTGGGAAAATTTCTTAGAAATTTAGCCACACAAAAGCAGCACAACTGGTGCTTAAAAGATAGGAAGATAAACATTAGATTAATATGTACAGTGAGAAAATGCCCCATTTCCAGGGGCATCCATGGATGAGGTCAGAAAGTCAAGATGATGCCCACAACTGTTCAGTTGAAAACCACTGTGTTTTAAGATGTGACACATCCACAATACACATTTTAAAAAGATGGGACCTTGTTCGTGTGGTTGCAGCTGCTATCTTGAGTTTTTTGCTGCCCCCTGTGGATGCCCCTGCCTATTTCTTTCTTGCCACCTCATCTGCTGGAGGCAGCTTGTTCCATGGAAAGCTTTGTATACAACCATATATTGTTTCCCAGTTCAGTTCATTATGCTTCTCTCTTTTTTCTAGGTCTCTGCTCATTGGGGGAAAAATTTTCGGAACCAGATGCCTAAAACACTGTCTCCTGAACAACTGAAATCAATTAGAAAAAAGTTCATCAGGTCTGCACAAGCTCACGTAGCGTATGGTCCCAGCTCACTCAGCGATTTCACACGATGGAGGGTAAATTGGGACTATGAATCATTTGCAGTCTTTTGTCATGATGACTGTAAGGTAGAATTTTGATCCTTCCTAGTCAATGTGGGTTATAATGTTATATCTTCATCCAGCTGTAAAGATAAATGAATGAAATTTATAGGCCCAGAGGAGAACCAAGCACCTAAGTGACCGAGTTTTGCATATTTTGCATACTTTAAACCAAGGAAACTAAATGAAAATCAATTATATAGATGAAATGCTATGATGTAGAAAAGAGCACATCATTGACATCCTTTTGTGTTTAGCTGATTGCTACTTATGCACCTGATACTTGACAGTAAGTTTCATCCTGCAGAATTCTTGAAGTTGAAATAAGTAATATTTTTGGTAAAAAGCAAAGAAAACAGTCTTCAAAATGCATTTAGCCAGCAGTACTGGGTGTAAACTATTCTGGTGAAACAAATTTGTGTAACTTGAAATTTTAATTAAGAAGTATTGTGCTGCCTTGCCTTTCAGTCTCAGTATTCTCAGTGGGAATTTTGAGTACTGAAGGAATCAAAAATTCAAGGCCAATAGATATTTTTTTAAAAAGTGATTTTGTGCACATTAGACTAGTCCCTAAAACAGATCAGCACTGAGTTTTTTAAAATGTAGAATGCTTTAAACTGGTTTAGGATTATGTGAGTTTGAGGGGGGGGGTCTCAAAATTAGTATAACAAAGGAAAGCCTTTGGGTGCTCTTTGTCTCTTTCTTGTTTGCACATTCTCTCCTACAACTGAAGAAGGGTGGGGCTCCACAGCCACATTTTGGCTTTTGGAAATATTTCAGAGTAGGCAGTGAATGCAAAAGAAATACTTACGAAACTGTCCCTGCTTATTAAAGGGACCTGAAGTCTAGTATATCTGATCTGAAAACCAATTAAGAAGAAGGAGGTGTGTTTTAATCAGAGGATCTCCCAAGCCCAGCTGAGCTTGATGAAGAAGAACATAAAGAACATTTCTCATGTGTGGTTTCTTGAACCTCTGAATTGAAAAGTTGCTTCTGTATACAGAAGGCTTGCTTAATGGCCCTTTGTATTTCAAAGTATGTATATTTTGAATTTAAAAGCAGAAGAAATTTCATAACCAATTTCTCTTTAAAAATATGTATTTGGTGTAAAAGCCTTAATGATAAGACTCTTACTTTTAGATGACTTTTCTAAATGTGTAGTCATTCCGTGTAAGCTAGGTCTTTACATTTGCTTTCCTAACATGTTTTGCCTACTTCTTCATTTTGTAAATATGTTTTGTATGAGAGGATAAGGAGTTACAAATCCCAACCCCATACCACCCCTATAATGGTATTATAGAAGAGATGGAGCAATATAACTTTTTCCCATCTTATTTTTCCTATTCCTTTCTTTATTTTAGTGTTTCTAAGATAACCATCTGCTGTGACAAATAATTCATTTGTTATAATTGAAATTACAGTTGGTTTTGGATCCAAAGTTCATTCAGAAGAGGATTCGAAAGAGGCTGGAATCCAGTTTTCATAGCTTGGGAGACCATTATCATAGATTTAAGAGCCTTGTCTGGATTATTTGCAATGTTGGAGAGAGGATTTATCTTCCTAGCTTGTTGTTTTGCTCTCCTTATTCTAATACACATGATAACTATTGCAGTTATAAGTAACTAATTCCTGCTTGCCTAATGCATCAAAATTCCTGTCTGCAAGGAAATAGTGTCGGATGACCAGGGGAGGAACTATTTGCTGAGGCTCCTAAACGTAATAAAGCCTGATGCATTTCTAAACACAAAGATTTCCTTCCTGAAGGGCATTCTATAAGTAACAAGGCTTGCATTCTGAACTGCAAGTGGAAATTTAATGGGAGCAAGCTAATGTTCATAGTACATTCTTTTTTAAAAAAAATAATCATTTTTTAAAATATTTAAAAAACAGAATAAATGGCTACATAAAAGAAAAAAGGTAGAAAGAGACATAGTGATTTCTATTTGGGGTGGTTGTCTTTGAATTTGTTGGTTTTTGGAATGGGAAAAATGTGTATTGGCTTTTTTGTAAAGGAGATATGATCTCTTTGTCATGTTAAACTCTGGTTTTATTTTATAAATGGGTTTTGCTTACAATTAAGAGTTGAGATGTGGAATGTTGAGTTTTATATATGTTAATTCATGTTAATATTTTAGAAATTTTAGAGCTCTGAACTTTTTGCTGATAATTAGATTGGAGAGGACGTTACTTATTTGATTTGCCTATGTTGAGAGATGGGATGAAAAGTTATATATCTATTAACTAAGAGGAAGTGAAGAGATTATGAAATTGTTTATACTTGTCATGATGAGGGTGGGAAGTTGCTTTCTTGAGGGAAGGGGGAGTTCTTTTTCTTTTTGCTTTCTTGCACTTTTCCTTTTTTTTCTTTTTAGTTTGTATTATCTTTTATTGTTCTATCCAAAACTTTTAATAAATTACCAAAAAATCCAGAGAAACATAGTGATTAAAGAATAAAATATCAGTAAATAAATGGGTTTTATGATTATCATAAAATTTAAAATTCATTCTTTCACTCTTTCATTAATTAATTGAATGAATGTATAGAGCTCAGTTCATTATATCATCATAAAAAATAACTAAAACTCTATAAAACTCTAAACATAGTTTATTCTTTACCTCTCTTGGTAAATAAGTGAATAGCTGCATTTTGCATCTCTGAAAGTTTCCAATTTGTCTTTTATTTTTTCCTTCTCAGAATTAGAATTATTTAGGAGTAGTTACTTTAATCCAAAGAGTTTGCTAGAGCGTATATGATTGTATTTTTGTCATGTTATGACTAAATCAATAATAAATATACTTTAGGAAGCTTACCTTGCTCAGGAGATGTAGAGGGACAGTGAAGAAAACAATTGAATTGAGAGTGGGAGTGGTAACTTTATGGAGGCTAAAAACATAGGTGCTATGTGGGTGAAGAAATTCAGTCATTAATAAAATATTTACATTTTGAAGTTAACTTCTGCCCGTTCTCTGCTTGTATCTGGGATACAATACAAGTTTCTTTATAGTCTACATGTCAGGTTTAGCCCAAAGAACTCCAAGAGACAATGCAGATTCAGTTCTGCTGTGTTTATTAGCTACAACCTCTAGACAGAATCTCTCCAGACTGAACCCTAGTTCCCAAGCCAGCCAGCCACAACACCGTGAATTCCTTAGGGAGGTGCCAGCCTCATCCTCTTGAACTTCCCACACTCCTGCAGTCAACTAA